ATATTGACTGATTGGTTGGGGAAAAAAATTATATGGTTTTATGCTGTGACTTTTAAAGTATCGGATTTGGTTTTGCAAGTGTAGAAAAGAGACAGAGGTGAAAAAAGGAAGGATTTGTAAATTGTCACCGTCTTAAATCTTTCCAACCTTTAAAGGGACCAAACCAAAACCAGATCCACCTTTTAAGAAACACAATGCGACCATATTCACAAACCTGCTCTTGTTATTGGAAGGAAACATTTAGTAAAATAAAAAAGGACAGCTGAGGAAAAAACAGAGAAAATAATGAGATAAAAGACAAAAGAGAACAAAGTGGCAGTGGCGTAATACTAAATCACTCCTTTACAAACTGCGACCTGTTCTCTTCAAACAACCCTCAACAGCTAAATAATGAATCAAAAAGGAGATTCCTTTCAGTGAAGGCCAGCTTTAATAGGCTTTTGAATGAACACTGTACACAGACCTACAAATGGCTGTTCATGGTGGACGCCAGAGGACAAAGACGATGGGATTAAAGGCAGGAAGGGAGTTTATTGAATGGAAAATAGGCATAAGAGACTGAAGCATCCTTTTACTGAATCGTGTGAAGTCAAACTCTCAAAAAGATATCTACTCTACGGTCACAGAGGCTTTTTGAGAAAGGTGTACAGTATCGGCACACAACCAGGATTTCTCAGCATTAGTTTAAGGCGATGCAGATGTTGAATCTTTGCTGTTGGGAATTAGATCTACTCATCTTGTAAATTCGACTTTCACATTAGCCAACCGGAAATTAAGTTTAAGATAAACTATTGAAGTGCCAAAACTTAAAAGACGTGAATGTCATTCTGATCTAATGTTTTCTTGGCCTTTAGCAGTGCCGCACATACGTTTTCAGTCAACCTTTCAGGGTTGGACTGCTTTTCTATGGAAAGACAGCATGCAGTAATGTAAAGCCAGAATTCAAAACATCCTAAACAATTCTTTATTCATCGGACTAAGACCCATTTCAAAAGCACTTGAATAGAACAGCCTCATATTTCCATTCAAGGTCTAAACTATCGGATGTTACCTTTAACGGATTAAAGGAGCAAGACGTACTGTGGCATGTAATATGACATGTTTAGTGTTGGTAATCAGATATTTCTGACTTTAGACAAAACCAGGCTTGTTGCTTCCCTCAACTGTTTCCTGTCGTGCTGAGCTGAAAGCCTGCTGGCATTAGCTCTGGCGCCCAACCCATTTCTTTACTTCAAGGGAGCTGATCCACAGCAGCTGCCGGTCCACCATGAAATAATTCAAGAGTGAATTTCGACTACTGACGTTTTGATGATGGCTGCAGTGCAACAATGCAGGCAGGGTTTCCACTTGCACAAGAATGATGTCTCAGTTGTCACTGACTTCTTGTGCTTCTTCAGAGCAACAATCTGGTTGTTAGAATCCCACAACCATTGCAACAACAGTTAGGAACCAGCTAAGATTCATGGCTTCAGCATAAACTTAATCTCAAAGTTATTGACAGGTTTACCAACAGGTTCCCTCTTATGGGGAGAAATAGCATTTTGAAGTAGCCCATCTGGATTCCTGTCTTGAATCTAGAGAGGCGTCTTGAGATTAGGGTGATGCTAAGGAGGCCTTTCAACTTTAAAGAGTTGATCAGCAAAAGATGAATCAACAAAACACCAGAGGAAAAATACAAAAAGCTGGTCAGCAGTTGCATGGTAAGATAAGATCTCTGTATGTTCTTTTAAGGAAAGTTTAATCTAAAGGGACTGAGCTCAGCCCCAAGTGTTATTTTTGCTGAGTCTTTCCAGTCTATCTGTGCTAAACTTTTTTTTTCTCTATGGGCGATTAAAAAGGGAAAGTACCAGAAAACACTGACAACCAAAGGACTCTTTGTCCAGCAGCCTCAGAAAACAACTCTTTCACTCTTTCCTCCTTTGTCTCCATACCTCCTACATGCACCAAGCTTTGAGCAAGAATCTTCCCCCCTTCCTCTGGCTTTTTAACAATACTTTGTCTCTTTGCACCATCCCACATGTCAGAATACCACAGAGGGACGCCATGAGCCTGTCCTATTATATGGCTCGCTCTCCGTCTCCAACACCCGCTCATCTATCTATCACTTTTTCCCCCCCCCCTCATATGTCACTTCCTCATCATCACTTCCACTCTGCCCTCCATTCATCCATCCATCTCCCACTCCAGTGACCTCACCCAGCGCCCACATCACAGTGACTTCATCAGACAACAGCTGCGGTCAAGGCTGCAGATCTGGGTGTTGGTGAAGACAATCAATGCCGTCACCGTGTCTGGCTGATATCTTCTGGATAACAGAAGATATGAACCAAGTCAGTGCATCAGTTCTTTCGTCACTATGGGTAAGAGTGACGCTTTATTTACATGATACCATTTAACAACGGTATCATGTCACGGGGACCCATTGGTGTGGGAAATGAAAATGGTCTCACTGCTCATGGTCAAAAGAAATGTCAGCATCAAAGAATTACTTCACCTGCAATAAATATTAGTGGACACTTTAAGTACCATGCGTTCAGGCTCTCTATCCTTGTAAACATACTGGACTTGTTTATTGAGGATCGCTGATGATTAATGCAGCATAAAATCCTTTAGACGGTAAAGTGGTGGTAATGTCATTACAAAACTGCCATGAGTTAATTAATCACATTTGCAATGAAATCACAACAGTGGGATTAACACTGTTGTGTGTTTATCACAAGTTATATCACATATTCCTCTACTTCTGTGGTAAAGGTGAAGGCAGTTTTATTTACATAGCACATTTTCAGCAACAAGGCCATACAAAGTGCTACACCAAACATGTGATTTATTGTTTCCCTAAAATAGAACATTAAAGGCAGGTGCTCACTCTCCATTGACTACCCAGGCAATAAAGCAATAAAAAACTACATTTGCGGAAACTGACTGCAGGCTTGGCCAAGGGCTTTATCGCCCTTGGCAAGAGTATGCCAGTGTTGGGACAAAGCGCTGCGTTAGATGGTTTAACTATTCATAGTCAGTCATAAAATGTTATTTATTTGAAGCGAATGCACAGATTTATATTGATTTATATTTTTGAACAATGTCTATAGTCCTCGTTTCATCCTCATTTTATTGGGTGAAAGGCTTGGTTAACTTTGGACACGTCTGTCTTTTGTCATTTAGGCTGAAAATAAAATATATCAGGTGTAAAAGTGATGTCAAAATGCAAACTCATTTTAAACAAGATTGAATTCCTAAGTGTAGGATGGAATAGTCTTAATTCAAGGACCTCATAATCTATAAAATAGTCTCAGTGACCTACAAAACCACATGTATGTGTCAGATGTGCAAATGTTTTAAAAAAGTCCAGGACATTCATGTGAACTAGAAATAGTTTTACTGCCATTGCTATCTTTATCACAAGAGTAAATTAAACTCCATTGTAACAGAAGACAGTGACCGTTCTTGAGTGCTTTTTTATACTCTGATCTTTTGAGGTAAATAAAAAACGGTTTATGGAAACTATTCTTGTGTCTCTGATGCCTTTGCTACATCCTTTATTGTTTATTCATGTTGTATAAATTAATTATTTTTTATACAGACATCTTGACTATTTGGTTATTAATTAAAAAAATAAATAAATAGAGAGCGGTTTCTCTTGAATCACAATAATTGCGATTGACTGTAGGTTACTTCACTTGAATTGGATTATTTTTATGCAACTTTTCTTGAAATGATGTTTCAGTGAACTGAGGCTATATGAAAATGAACTAGACTGCATAGTCTGGGTTGTTATGGCTTCACTTTCAAGTAGATTGCTTTCTTGGATCCTGTTTCAATCTCTTGACTTGAAGGTCAGCAGTAAAGTTCTACATGCTCAGCCAGTCCCCTGAGAAAGCTGGTTAAGAGATTCATTAAAAGGATATTACATTACAGGTGGTCTAGATCCATGCAACCCGTCTCTGTGGTTACTAAGCCTCTGATGTCGAGTATCTCCTGGCATCCTAAGTCTCTTTCATCTTTACTTTGTTTTGAGCACAAGTAGAACTGCTTCAGTTTAAAAAGGTAATGCAGCTTTTATTTTTATTTAATTACGTCATTATTGTTTTTCAGAGCTTTAAAAATACATGATAAACCTGCAGGTTCCACCAGGCATCATCTTTTACTAAATAAGTAGACTGCCATCCGCTGCACGACTTTCTGAATTACCTTCACGATGCTGTTTTAACCAGAGTTTGAAAAAGTTTTACAATCACTAATATAGTTTGCTTTATTTGAGATGCATTCTTAATCCTTAGCACTATGTTAAGAGTGGTGGGACTTCATAAATATTTCTGAGCAGTTGATAGATGTGGGGCTAAAACTCCAACTACCAGATGCACCAAAATATAAAGTCAAGTGGAAATTTAAGTACTTTAAGGACAAAAAGAAGACAATAATTTATATATGTAAAACAAAGCTTAATCAGGTATAAGAAAATATTGCAAAACATAAGGTAGTATTTTTCTGTTATATTTATAATGTAATCCTGACCAAAGTCTTAAGACAGGAAACGTTACAGGTATTGTGAAACAGATATTTTTTCCCTCCATTCAGCTCCACCAGATTATAACCCTGAGTCCATTGAGCTTTGAATGTGACTAAGAGATAGCAGAAAGACAAAGAAGAAAATGTAATTTATTTAAAAATGACTCAAATTCAAACAGATGTTGCCTCAACTCACCACAGGATAAAAACTATTCACCTTAAAATCCATCTATGGTTTGGAACTAAACTCTGTTTTTGTACATCTCACTTGCCCAAATATTTGTAGAATGATTTAGATAACAGGAAGATGTAAATATATTTTAATTACATCAAATCAGATCTTTTTGTTCATTCTTAAAAAATAATGCACGTTGATGTCAGCCATTAGTATTAAAAACATCTCTACCAGAAATTAGGGTTAGGGCAACCATAGGAGCTACAGTTCAGCTTTATACTCAACCAAGCTGAAACAAAATAATCCAATCTGCAGATCATGACCAGTGTTTATTGCATGATTTTCTTTCAAACACACTTTCATAAAATTAGGATAAAATTTGTAAAGAAGAGTTTCTGTTTTATTACAAATGAAGGGTGTCAGAAATTCAGAAGCAGTCAGCAGAATCACAGCCGCCTCGTCACAGGGGTTTGTTTGGAAGGATTTGCGCAGAGGTGTTGGTTCAGCCACAGCACGATGTTGAGGAAACAGTCGACCTGAGTGTCCACCCTGGACAGAGAGTGTCCGTCGTCTGGAAACCACAACAACCTGGAGAGAGAAATGAAACGGCAGAAGTCCAAAGGTCTGGGCCACCAATTTAGGTTTTTATGTTGCTCACTTGTACCTGACAGGTGAACCTCTGCTCTTCAGGACTTTGTAGAGCTCCAGACCCTGATGAGGAGAAACCCGTCTGTCCTTCCCACCCAACATCAGTAGCACTGGAGCTTTGATCTGCACACATTAAACACAATGACATTGACTTGATAAAGGTCATGTAAACTCTTTCTTCCCTTAACTAGAAGTAACTATAAAATGTCTCTGTTGATGAAAGTAACGATTTATAGCATCTCTAAAACTCGAAACATTTTTATGTTAGAGTTTAGCACCCCGTAGAGGGCATTTTTGGTAATACAGGGAGCTTTAAAACACTCAATAAATCTTGTTAAGAATTGCTACTGAAACATAGTTGAAAATAGAAATTAACTTCTAGTCTAATTAAGGTTGTTTATCCATTTCTTCAATGCTGTGATATAATAAAGTGTGTGTTTATATGAGTCTTACCTGTGCTGCATGTGTGATGGGAGACTTCAGTAACATTGCAGCCAGGGTTTCAGCAGTAGGGATGTTGTCATATGAGAACTGAAAGCCTGCGCTTGTGTATCTCCTGTAAGCAGGAAGATAGAAAAATAAAACTCATGTCATAAAGTGACTATTACAATCTTATGTGAAAGTATCCCAACCCATTGAACTTTTGGAGAGAACAAACTTACGCAATGTTTTATTTTGCTTTCACTTAATTTGTGTTTTTATGTGCTCATCCAAAAAAAAATTCCCCTTCCCCCCCAGAAAAAGAATATTATGTACAGTTTTTCTCACCAGTCCACTATGTCACTGGTTCCCAGCAGCGTAGCGGCGTTAATGACCGGATTCCTGGCTGCACACGCTCTGTAGAAGTCTGGGTACTGACCAATCAAATGACAGGACAGAAAACCACCATGGGAACCACCAATCACTGCCAAACGTTTGGGATCGAGGGTTTTGTCACTCTGGAGCGCAGTCATAACAGCCCGCTGTATCACAGGGTGAACACAGACAAGATCAATTTCACGGTGTTAAAGGTGAAGGATCTGTGTGTTATGACAAACACTCATCTGCTACAACATCAACACATCGCTCATCATAGGTTTATTTCAAGAGACAGACAAGGAAAGTTGATACCTGAACATCTTTTACATCCTGACTCCCGATCTGACCTATGAGGGATAAAATGCTATCTTGTCCGAACCCTGTGGATCCCCGATAGTTCACTGGATGGAGACAGAATGAAAGGCAGAATGACGTCGGCTGAATTACAGAGGGATCAAATCCTGGGAACCCCAAAAAATAACAAAATCTGGTTATGATTATGATCAGCGGCATATAATGTATAATGTAATAAACAGATATTTAAAGTAAACTTTTAAAGCGCAGGGAAAGAATCCAGGCCGACATTGCCATATATTACACACAGCAACTTTACACACATGGGATCTTTCCAGGTGTTTTCCTCAAACACATCTGTAAGATTATAAAAGTCACCATCTGTGTGTTTTTGGAAGAATTTCTGCAGGCAAGCAAGGAAACAAAATATCTCACCCATAAGCACGGCAAAGCCCAGTTCAACCAGTCCAGCGGTGGTGCTGTTCCACTCTGCAGGGAACTGGGAGTGAGGGCCACCTAAACGAGCAAGGCATTATTCTGGGTGTTCATATGTGCCGTTTTGTTATGTGAACATATCCCATGCAAAGCCAAAGAGAGGTCCAGACCATGGATGAAGACAACCACAGGTGTTCCGGTTTCACAGAAGAGACGGGACGGTTTGACCAAGATGGCCCCGAAATCTAAACCAGCTGTTTGGAAAACAGGTAATGAAGAAGAATGGAGAAAAAAAACTTATTTAATCCGAAAATTTTCTTGAAAGTTTTTTGATTCTAAAACAAATAGAAAAATCTCAAATGTTTTTTTGTTATTTTATTGTTCATATAAATGTTCTAGCTCTTAAATGTGTACTAACATTTATTTTTTTTAAATCTATTTTTTTACATATTTGTTAAAATATCACCATGTCGTGCTTGTATGTCCTGAGCAGAAGTCGTGGCCAGTCAAATGACCGACGGGCTTCAAATTTTCCCAAATACGGAAAACATTCCGTTAACGCGACTTCTGGTCCTGAGACAGGTGATCTGTCCATCCAGGTTTGACAGATTACATCACACGTTTATCATGTTATACACCAAAGAAATCTTCTGAGACAGAAGCTAAAAGCTCACGGTAACGTCCGTTGTCCTCATCTGATGTAGGTGTGACATCTAGGACCGTCCAGAGGTAATCAAACGTCGTGACGGGCTGCTGCAGAGTTCTCCAGATTACAGTTTCGCCTGCTGATGGGAGGAATCCCACCCTCTGCACATACCAAAGCAACACATTACGTGAGCTCTAAAACCCATTACATGATGTAGGCTGGTATCGGTGTGTGTGTGTAGTGTGTCTGACCAGGGTGGGAGGCGAGTTGGGGCTGGAGCAGCAGACGACCATCAGGTCTCTTTGGACTGTCAGTAGCTTCCAGCTTCCATAAACCTTAGAAAGATCAGAGAGGTCTGCAGCCGAAATGCAGCAAAGACAAACAAAATGTCAAACCCAGGTATTAAATCCTTCTGCTTCACAATTGTGTGCAAGTATTTTTTTTTTTGCTTTTTCCCATTAAAGCTCAATAAAACACACTTGACATTAGCAGTTGTAATGTGACAAAACGTGGAAAGGTTTGAATACTTTTAAAAGATGTATGAGTTCATAATGCATATATAACAACTGCATTGTTAAAATTGTTCTTTCATTTAAAGAGCTCACAACCCCGGGCTTTTATTTTTAAATGTCATACCTTCCACCTGTCTCTGGTGGTCTTGGTGAAGATGAGATGAGGAAGGAGGAGGAGGAGGAGTATTTGGAAAGTAAGAGTCAGCAGGAAGAGGAGGAGCCGAATTTTGGGCAAAAGGAGAAGGAGGAGGTGGAAGAAGAGGAGACAGAAGAGGAAGAGGAGGAGGGGAGAGAGGGACAGCCGGTGGAGGAGGTGGTGGCGGAGGTGAATACAAAGACCAATAAGGGGACGGAGGGGGGGGAAGGAGAGGAGTTGGAGGCTGGGAGGGAGGAGGAGGAAAAATGAAAGACGGAGATGAGGACAGAAAAGAGGAGAGGGTGGGAGGAGGCGGAGGAGAGGACGGACTCTTACTATCAGAGAGGGAAGAGACTTTCTTTGTTCCTCTGTCCACCATGAAGACATCCTGACAGGAGAGACAGTTTAATTACTAATGACTCAAAATCAAACACAACTCGCTTTATTTTGAAAGTATGGCATGAATATCTGCTTGTTGTTTGCAGACAGCTGTGAGTGTTACCTTCTGGTTTCTAACGGCGCTGCTGAACACGACTTTCTGACCGTCCACAGACCAGCAGCGGGACGGCAGCGCTTCATACACACCTGCAAAATCACCTGGAACCATCGAAAATTAGTAAGATTAATAATCTAGATGTTTATTTATTAAAGCTTCAAGAGTTTAGACCAGCATGTTGCACTGAGTGAGTCTTCATTGGGTGGCCTGATTGACCTTTAACCCACCAGTCTGAGGTCTGCTGACCACACCAAGTATGGTCGAAGTCTTCCCACTCTTCAGGTCCAACTGTGCAGGTTTAATAATCAACTGTTAATGAACAGAAAACACACGCAGACGTACAAAACAACTCAAACATACGCCACACCTGCTGCACACTTAGGCACTGGTTGTGGGGCCCAAACACACTACCCTGCAGGTAGATCAACGTGGATCCATCTGGACTCAGCCTGGGACAGGACACGGAGAGGTTGTCCCCTGATAAACACTCTGGGACAGGAGAGAGGGCGGTGTAGATCAGAGGTCAGACGATCAGAGACAAATGCGTTAATAGAGACGGAGGTAAAGGTCTCACCACAGTGTCCATCCAGGCTGAGTCTGAATAAAGCCGACCTGAAACACAAGGAAGGCAAAACAGGAACAGAGAAGGTAAACCCCAATTTCTCTACATCATGTTTTAAATACATTTCTGAAAAGGTTTTAAAAAATTGTTGAAAAAAAATAAGAGAGAAATTAATAATCCTGGGATTTTTTTTAATTTACTGAATTTATTAAGCTATGACTGAGAGTGAAGGCAAGAAAATATTAGAACCGATTTCAATCAGGAAGTAAACACTTTTGCCAGGCTTTTAGGATAAAGCAGACCGTGAATCCTCCTGGTAAATACTTGGTAGAGTGAAAAAAGTTTCCATATCAACAGCAAAGAAACATTCTGAAACGAGGGATAGTGCAGATGTATTTCTAAACAGTAGAGGCTTTTTAAGGGTTTTTCTTTTTCTCATTGCTGTTGATGTCCAATATAAATATCTTAAGAAGTGTTTTGGACATTTTACTACTACTTTGAGAAGTCCCTAATCTTCCTCCAGCCTGTAGTTTGATCATTTATACATGTTCACACATTAAATACTTAGAAGGTCGAGATATAAGTTGGGTTAAAGCGATAAGTTACTTTTTTTGTCATCCTGCTTCAGTCTAGGTGTGTGTGATAAAGTCTGAGACCTGCGGTTGGAGCAGAACTTCAGTCCAAGTCTGAAAGGTTCATGGTACCAGCCGACAAAAAACACAGCCTGGCCGCCGGGAGCCCACAGAGCCTGAGGAAAACATTCATATACTGATCAGCCATGATAAAATAAAGTTTCTGCTGTGATTAAAAACATCAGTGAGAAAGAAGTGAGGTTGGCGTCTCTCCTCACCTGTCCAGGTGAGACGTCCTGCGGGACGCTCTGCAGTACATCGACCTCACCATGATGCAAATCCACCACACAGAGCACTGGGACACTCTTACTGGTCAGAGCCTCGCCCCAGTCCTCACGGTACATGCTCCTGTCCTGTGTGGACACAAAGACGTCTTCGTACAGCGAACTCGATATCGGGGTGTGTTTCCGTGGCGATGTTTGTTAACCTTTCTGCTCGCGGATTCTCCAGAACGTGTTTCTGCCGTCGAGCTCCCGCTACGCTCGGCTACGAACAGCAGCTTGCTCTCACACTCCGACCAGGACAGGCAGCCGAACTGAGCTGGACGCACACAGTGAGACATGAGGGGCGCGGCAAAGTACCACAGTCACAGACGATGCTCAGTCCGATCTCTTACTGTCGTCGTACACTCTGCCGTGGATGTTCAGGGCAGACAGGTTGAGGCTTTTCCTGAGGCCGTGACGGTCCCAGATCTGAACAGGAACAAGCACAAGCAGCAGCTTATTGAGACGTCAAAGCGTTTGTCTTCCTGGGGACGATTTCGATCCATCGTTCTTACCTCTAGGAGCTGCTGGCTGCCCGTCTCTCTGACAACAGCCCTCAGGCCACGAATTGGCGACAATTCACTCAATAACCTGAAGAACAGAAATGAATACTTCTGCAAAATAGCCACCAATGTCATCTGAAGAAAAACAGACCTGGAAATCTGATTAATTTTATCAAAGATTATTATCCTAAAGTTGACAGAGCGTATCAGTCACAGGTGACTAACGATTAATTGACGGGTGACCATTATCTATTTTTTCCACAACACGAAGGACTATGTTTTTCATCATTCAAAAAAACAAAACACATTTTTATATTTTAATCATTTGTGGATAAGAACTTCACACTGCTCTATCAGGAGGCACAGCTGAATGAGAGCTTTAAGGTGCCGGCAGCTTTTCACAGTAACTATTTCCATGTGCACAGCTTGAACACAAACATTGTTCCATCGTCTTTCACTTTTCATAAGAGAATATACCTTCTATTCTGTAAGAACTGGTGAATTGTTGAATCGTTATTTGTGCCGATTACAACAAACTGTACAGCCTGTAGGTTTACATCACTTTAGAAATATAGACATTTATTCTTGCTTAGCAAACCTCAATATGTAGAGCTCTTTTACGTTAAGGCATGGTTCAATTCCAGTTGAGCTAGAGGGAGGAAACATTTCTGCAGTGAATCTTAACAGCAGTCTGCTCTGCCTGACTGCTGCACTTTATTTCACTGAAGGTTTTATAAAGCTACAATCATTCACTTCAGGAAGTATTTTTGATATACTTTATTCAACAGACTCATGGTCCACAAGACCATGAGTTTTCTTACAGCAGATGAAACATTTGTACAGGTTTTATGGTCAAGGCTTAATAGCAGCTGTAAATATAATAGAGGATAAAACAGATACATTAAAGCAAGCACCACTCACTCTCCAGACAGCGGTGAACATGGCCCAGGTGGGAGGACGGTCCTGATGCTTTTGTGGTTGTTGCTGTCAGCGATCAGAGTCCACTGTTGTGAGAAGCGAAGTCTGGCATTTCGGACCAGGTCAGTCTGGATCCACTCTGCATGTGTACACAGTAAAAAGTTGGGATTTATTAAACGGGGCCTCTGGCAAAAGGATCATATAAATTTTACGTTGCACAAAGGCTTTATTTCATGTCTGTAATTGTTTGCAGAAATGTGATAGTTTCAGTATCGTTAATGTCCTCAAGCGATGGGGGGCAGATCTGCAAACACTCTACAATGTGGAGATCTGGGAAATAGCTCAACAAAATAGAAATGTCCTAGTCAAAGTATGGACTTGTATCGTATTAAAATGAGACCTTAAACAGGTTCACGTGTACAAATATTCCTCCACAGCAATGTGCCAGTTATCACAGTTTATGGTTGTCACTAAGCATGTCCCAAGAAGTCATTAGATTTATGGGGTGATCATTTTTCATTTAGAAAAATCTGTTACATTTCCGTTTTACTGTGGTAAGTTTGGATTTCAAGTGATTATTAATACAAATTTTGCCAAAAGCTTCCAATAAAGTGTTTGAAAATATAATCAGTTTATTTTATCGTCAGCATTATTTTTTAAACAAATTTAATAAACATGACGAGTTTAATAATAATTTTACTACAGTTATTATTACTTATTTACTGATGCAGCTGACTTTAACAACCAAGTGATGCTCACCATCAGAGGCTGCTAGCTGCAGATAGCTCACCTGCTGTCACGGTGTAGATCCGGACTTCCGGCTGCTGCTCCAGGCTCACACGAGCTGAAACGGGAGCAGCCAGGCCGCTGACCTTTCCGTACAGCCCCGTGATTTGGTCGGAGTCCATCCGCGTCTGCGGCAACACGCGCGGCTCACTATGAACCACCAGGCTCAGCTAACGAGCCTGATAATGGCACCGTCGTTGCATGAAAGTGTTTCTCCTCAGCAGCCAAATGCCTCTATTGCAGGCCGAGAGTGAAGCGCGTCGCCTGGTCAATGACTGGACTGCATTTCAGGAAGCCGCTTCAACTCCAAACCCGAATGATTTTTGCTCTACCTGCTCGGCGCCTCCATGTTGGGACTATACCACCTTGCTCAGTTCAAAGTGGGTGTAGTGCTGAACGTGACCACGAGGAGGCAGCAGAAACAACTGCAAAAATAGAAGCATTTTGTTTGTGTTAAATATAAACATGAGCCACTGCCAAAATGGTAGTGGGAAATGTGTACTTTTCCCAGAAAACGTGTTGGGCTTTCTCTGTTGAGTACATTTGTGTTAATCTTATTTTATGCTATTGCAATAAAACATTTGTTTTAAGTCCCCAGCTTCAATTTTTCCATGTGGTCTGCATGGACTCTATGAACATCAAATAAAAAGATGATGCATTAAATAATATTCATAATTTCAGATGAAAAATCTAAATAAAAACCTTTGAACGCTAAGATAGAAAGCACATGCTTTGATTTTTTTTTAAATCTATAGAAAAAGTATGCACATGACCATGAGGCTAAAGCTGACTTTACTTATAAAAAACCAACATTTCAACAATTTGGAATAACTAAAAGCAATGTAATTGTTGAAGTGCTTTTTATTTCATTTGACTCCCTCCAAGAAGGATCAACAGCACAATTTGGTAAACGTTTGCAGAAACTCTGCAAACATTCTCTCCTCTTCTGGTTTATCGCCAGTTCAAACTGTTTGGCAGCCATCAAGTTCACCAAATAAGTCATTTATTATTATACAGATGGATGTTTAATGTGAACTTCATCAGTTAAAAACAATGTTGTCAAACTTGTCGATCAGCAGCTGTGACTGCATTCATTGTTGTTTAGAGAATAAAATTCATTTAATTCATCTCACATACACATATGCCCATGAATCCATGTGCTATGTGTTACATACACGTAAATATTTTATGACCCGGTAACCCTCGTTAAAAATGAATCGGAAAGAAAACTTATATAAAATTCTGTCATCTTTAACCATAGTTGTGCATGTAAACAGTTCATAATTTAAAGTTTCTTAAAAAAAAAACACTTATTACAGCTCTTATAATAAATTAAAACAGTAAAATACAATTTCTTCCCCCAGAAAAAGCCCACTTCTTTTCTAAAAGCAAAAACAATACATAAATGACTTTAATAATGTTTCTTTTTTTAATGAGGCATCTTCTGGATTCACATGGTAAGTGTTTTATTTCATGGTTAAATTAATGTCAGATAAAACACACTCGCACACAAACACCACACATTTTTCTCAAAGGTTGCATTGTTTGAAAAGGTTTTTTTTGGCTGCTGAGGAAGCCACTCTGGCTGGGTGAGAGACATGGGGCTTTCGGGGAGCAAGGAATTGGACATCCCATACAGTAAAGACACTTAGCACAACATTTCCTTGGCTCCTTTTTTGTACGGATTCAGATTCTTTCAATGATTGGTACAGATTTCAAACCTGTTCTGCTACTTAATAAAAAACAAAAAAGCATCAAAATGTTTTCATTAAAACCACACAACTGGTCTGGCAAAAACACTTAATAGCAGGTAAAGCTCTTTGTAGAGCAAATGAGTCTTTTTGTGTCTGATGGGTGAACATCCAAAGGCATCTCAGTTCCTCATCCACTCCCTTCTCGTCCGTCCCTCACATGACATCAGCACGTTTGTCCCTGACTTTATTCCTCAGTTTCGTTCGGGCTTTGAAGGCAGCAGAGTTGTATAAATGCTGTTGAACGGGAAAAAAAGTGTTTATGCTACATTAGGAGGAAGGTTTTGCAGAGTATAAGATTTCTTAACCAGAAAAAGACATATTTCCAAGAGGAGGTAAAAAAAGAAATGACCAGAGTTTCCTCCGGTGCATTATAAGCCTGGCAGACCACCAGGCTTTCCTTGTGTCCCCACCAGGCTAAGCATTGCTTATTTTTAAAAGTTTTTTTAAATGTTTGCATCTTTTAAAACTTTATAGCTGATGTTCCAAGTATTAACCTTCCAATCTTTCGATAACGCATAATTATCAAGTGATATTTTCAAATTTTCTGTCAACTTTAAACATTTTTTAACTCAAAACACAACAGACTGCTTCCCTAGCACCCAACCACCAGGCTTAGAAAGATTTCTGTGGGAAACCTTGAACGACCATTTTATAAACTAAGACTGAATAGCGATACATACCTGTAGAGAATGTATTGGCCTTTATTTTAAACCAATACAATTTGAAGATGTCATGTTTTAATGTTAAAAATGAAATGGCTATTAAACTGTGTGTTTTCCATCACACTTATTTTTCTGAACAGGTATTAATGGTTTTAAAAGCCAGGAGTAAGCTAGTGGAAAAAATGCATCGTACTTTACCTTCTCTACCCGTGAGATCTTACTGCCTTTGATAGTAGCAGCATCTAAAATGATGGGAGGTCCAAGGCCAAAGATGTCTCGGAGAAGCTGGTTGTACTGCACAAAACAAATATAGAGGCTGGTTGAGGACAAATCGCCTTAGTGTTCTACCTAGCGTGTTTTATTGTGTTGGAGCTTTGTTATCACACCTGCAAATGGTGTCGAACTCCAGATTCTAGGATCTCCTTGAAGGCATCGTAGATTCTTTTCCTCATCCACCCATCGATGTAAACGCTCTCCACGCCAAACCTGATCTTCTCCTCAGTGAAATCCTCATTCTGTGGGGACAGAAACTGGATGTCAGCAACTAAAGAGACAGCAGGGATGCAGAAGAAACCTACTGCAAACAGAAAATAAAAATCAAAGCCTCCAGGATGGAAGTACTTGAGACAGTTACCAACCTCTATGTAATGTAGCACCTCTCTGAAGATGGAGCGCTGTTTCCTTCTGTCATTTTTGGCTCTGTGTTTGTTGCCGTCTGTGGCTAAACTCTTCAGAGATTCGCACAGACTTTCAGAGTCCTCCACCTCAAACTCCTACATGAGCAAAATAGAGTTAGCGACGCTAAATGCATTTACAGTGCTTAGCAAAAGTATTTATGTTCATGGAACATAATACTATCAAGTTACAACCCCAAACTTCAATAAATATTAATGGAATTTTATGTAAGAGATTGATTTGTGTTCAATAAAATACTCATCCATTATTCATCAATAGTTACACTATCCTGCACCATGCAAGTAGTATTTGTTTGGGATTACCTCATCTATATCTCGGCCTAACTCCACCAGCAGAGCAATCGTCTCTCCCACTGCAATTCTGTAGTTGACGTCGCTGCTCTGCAGACAGGCCTGCAGCTTCGGAAGGTGCCTACAAAGAACACAGTGAACGCATAATCAGTATTTGGTAACGATTAAGACCTACTAATAACATTATACAATAACTGAGTACATTAGTCAAAGTCCTGGGTTTAAATTCCAGCTATCAAGGGACGGTGTCCTTCAAAGTATAGGTTCTGAACTGTGTTGGACCTCAGACAAGTTGAAAAGCTACAGGACATTTGTTATCGGAGACTCGATCAGAACACCACGCCTACTTCAAGGAAGGTTAGACTGATTGGCATGTCCAGCTACTGGTTAAACACACATACATGTGTCCAGATGCAAATTTCTTCTTCCAACTGGAAGGCTTGGACAACCGTCTTCCAGCTGAACAACACATTGCAGTTGATGCAATGAGTAGCTTCTTATCTCTAAAACAGCCTGTGAATGCCTGTGATGTTCAAGACATCGGAATGTAATATCTGTGTGTGTGTGTGTTTTCCATCACACAATGTAATATCTGTGTGTGTGTGTGTGTGTGTGTGTGTTTTGGTGGTGACTGTGTTTTGACTTAATAGACTTCCTCTGCAAATCTTGGCTGATGTTGCAATGTGCGTTTCGAGTATTTGTCTATAAAATAAGGTGATATAAATTCCACAAACATAAATTTGTGGAATGGGCAAAATAGTATGGTGGGTATTTTTTTATTGTGGATATGAATAAATTTGTACCTTTAGATGGAAAACAAAGGATGTTTATTCAACTGAAAAAGAATGTATCAAAACAAAAAAAGTGAGATATTAATCTTTATTTGGAGTATTTATTATGTTTTTCGTGTCCACTCACAGTTCCAGCAGCTCAGTGAGTTTGGAAGTGGGACAGAGCGTGGCCAGCAGCGACCAGGCCTGCAGGGCGGCGGTGTGGAGGCCGGGCAGACCGGGTTTGGGTGTGGGCAGCGTTCCTTCTCGGTTAGGGTAGGAAGATGAGAAGACACTCTCCAGAAGAGCCAGCGACTTGACCAGGTCCTGCAACAGTTCAGACAATATGTTAAAAATGTGCATTGAACAAAATCTAAATACGAAACCCAACATATATGAAACTCATTTACGCTTTTTTGGGTGTTTTGTCCCAGGTTTGTGTAATGGCACAAAAAAGTTGCAAACAAATCTCACCTCTCCTTCTTCTGCAGTGGAGACATAGCAGCACATCCCCAAAGCCCTGGCACACTGATGAGACGGGAAACAAGCAGATGTACATTAAAACAATGAAGTTACACACACAAAAAAAGAAAACAAACAAAAAAAACCACGTTAGTTTCCTTATTAACCCTGTCATGCATGAATTACGATCCTTTGTGTCAAGAATTTTGTGTCAGTGTATGCATATAAAATGTTCTGAAACAGATGTGTTTAAAACTGCTAATCCCATATTTTAATCTTTATCTTTATTCATCATCCAGAAATTCCAATTAGAAACAGCGTTTTCATTTTAAAGGGTGATTTGCTAAGAAGAGGGCATCACTCACGCTCTGACGAGCTACTATGTTGGCACCGCTGTCATTCAGGATGGAGGTGAGAACAGGACGAAGCGACTTGAAGCCCTCCTCGGCCTCGTCCCCTCCTCCGAGCTGGATGCACAGCATCGTGAAAACGTTTGCCGCCGCGGCCTGCTCCTCTCCGCCGCCTGCAGACACGAAGGGACAGAGGAAGAAATTCAAGTTTGGGCAACCTAACTGGTTCACTCTGAGAACTATGTTTTATATTGCATCAATTCAGAACCTTTTTTGAGACTTCGCTCCAGGCAGTCGCGCACTGTGAGACGCTGGCCAGTCAGGAAGTCGTACAGGACTCTGGAGGAGAAAGCTTGTCGTAGTGACTCCAGGGCTGCTAGACGAGTCTTTGCACTGGAAGAGAAAGACAAACAGAGCGAGACTTTACAATGAGACATTAGAGACAGTCAGAGCTTTTTGATGTTGGCTGCTACAATATCCATCTGTTGTGGGAAGAATGAACAATGTATCTTTGTAAAGCAGAGTTTAATGCACAGAACTCTGATGATCAGAACCCAACAAACTGAAGAAAACTACACAGTAGAGTAATGAACATATTTACATAGAAAATTACACTTTATAGGAGAATACTTCAGCTTTAGTCACACTGCAGCCCATAAACTCTTGTATTTTCAAACTTTCCATTGTTTGACATCTTCTTGTTGACAATCATTAATTAAAACAAGTTATCTGTCTAATAGCATTTTTGTCTCCACACACTAATTCTTGGCGTTTTGATTTTCAGGATACATTGTCCTGGAAATCAATTTTCAGGATTTTATGCTCAGGATTTTATAAAATATAATCCTGAAAATTTAAAAAATACATTTTGCTCTTGTATTATTTAGCCGTTTCCACCCGAATAAAGAAATAAAACTGTTCATAGTCAACCTATGACGAACTGGAATGAGAATGTGCTACCATTATTTCTGTTTTAGAGAAGCTAAATGAAGACCCTCACCTTTTGTCCATCAGGTTGTCTATACACTGCTTGAGCTTGTCTTCTGTTTCTTCTTGTGCAGTCTGTTCATCCACCTGCTCACTCCCTAAGTATGACCAGAGAGCACTTGGGAGATAAATGTTGTGCAAAGTACTTGTGAAAACGTTAAGACATCCGATTAAACATTCAGAAAAATCAAAAAAGGTTAACTAATATTCACTTCAGAAACAAGAACTTGTTTTTAATCAGCTGCTCTAACTTAATCAACCTGCTTTGTGCGTTATAATATCCATGTCTCTGTACAGACCTGGGCTCTCTTCCAGGACAGAAGCAGTTTCACTTGCGCTACTGTAGTGGCTCAGAATGTCCGATGTCAGCTCATCGTCACTGGCTGCAGATTCTGCCTTCATCCCGTTTTTAACAGCTGGAGACAAAAACAAAATATCCACAGAATGGGAAACACTTTGAGGAAAAAAAGAACAAGAACAAAGAAATCTTTTTAGTAGTAAGTTAAAATGAAGTGGTCTGAGAGAGTAAGTCAACAAACACTGTTACAATGATCAGCAGCAATGATTTGTTATTTCCAAAAGCCAGGAAAAAAAAGAAGTTTAAAATCAGGAGCTCTTGGAAAATATACTCATTGCCAGCACATGTTGGTACCAGGTGAGGGTAGAACCGAGATTTGTGCCTTAAACATTTGCTGTTTTTCACGTCGAACCGAAACGCCGGTTTCGTTTACCCTCCGAACGATCGATAGTGGCAAAGGAAAGATTTTGAACCCAGCAAAGTAGCAGAGTGAGTGTGAGTGGAAGAGTTAATCACTCTTAGAGAGAAAAAGATGCAGACTGAACGCTAACCATTATTTTACTGTTAAGTCAGTAAAAACAACAGCGTATTCTACTGAAACTTGATGACTTTTAAAAGTGGAGAAAAAAAAATCCTGGAATCTGAAATATGGAATTACAAAAAATAAATGTGGATTAGACACTGGCCACAAAATTTACAATCCATGCATGTGTAGTTTTCAAAAATTCACAATGAATGATAAAATTTTGCACACACACATTCATGCCTGATTGCAATTTGCTACAAATTGGGCCAGGCTTGTACAAACGATGACACTCCTCAAGTAAAATGGCTTTCAGGATAACATCCACCAGAGGAACAGGTGTTTTTTCTTTTGTTTTCTTTTAGCTAACTGGTACCAGGTCAGTACATAACAGCTGGAAACCGCTGACCTGGAAAGGTTTTCCAATTAAGCAGTACTACGTGATGGTTTAGGCTTTTATTTGCACACCGGGGGTTTGTTCCAGCACAGCTCTGCCATGTGTGGTGGAGGAAGAAGAGGCAAGCAGGCTAAGCTAGGCTAACTCTCATGTTTCTGCTGGCTCAGGACTTTCTGCTGTTGGTGGGATCACTGGCCGTTCATCTGTTCCCTCATTGGGTGGTCATGATCCAGAACGATCACGCTGCGTTTGTGTTCACGTTGAAATCAACTGGTACGGTAAAAGTGATTCAGAGGTCACTCATACAGCAGGAAAACAGAGCGATTTTATTTGAGATACCAGCTGAAGTGATTTAGTTTTAATGAACACTTGAACTCCAAACTGAACAGAAACTACAAAAGTGAGAGGAGTTACAACTTCAGCAACATTTTGCTCTTGTATTATTTAGCCGTTTCCACCCAAATAAAGAAATAAAACTGTTTATAGTCAACCTATGACAAACTGAAATGAGAATGTGAAACCAGAGTAATAATAGGGGAAAGTTCAGCTATTCAAACCTGAGCGGACCTAGTTTTAGATTCATTGTTGTTCCATGTCCTTTATTTAAACTTTAGGGTAGGCTTTCTATAGCCTTATTAGTCCACTCATAAATGTATCCACTAATACTATACGAAACTATATTTATGAATTTAAAAAAAAAATCAAATAGTGACTAGAATTATGCAATTTAAAAGTACCAGCTTTTAGCAATCAGTGAGCTGACCATATCCACCTTTAGCCATTTTCATTACATGTGAAGTGTTTAAAAACTCCATATAACAGCTGTAAGCCATTTAATAGAAACCTGCATGGCCTGTGACATTTGTGGTTCATTCAGGCTGTGACAGAAGGCTGTCAGAAAATAATAGAAAGAATAAATTTTCTCTTTTCGATTGAGCGGCCAAACTTAGGAGGTTAGAACAAAGAAAGGAACAAATTATTTTAGTGACATGAACAGAGATAGTCACTAATATATGATGCTACACTCCATTATCGTTTTGTCTTTCTTTATAAAATAGTCAACAGCGACTCATGTTATGAAGTTGCCTCTCCCCTGCTATAAATAGTAATGGTTCACAACTAGATTATAAGAAAAAACTTGATGCTGTTCTATCTTCCTGCACAGTTATCAAATACAAATAGAAAACTGATAAAATTGTGGATCTGGAAAATAAAGCTTTTAAAAACGATGGATCACAATTTGAAAAATTGACTAATGATACAATGATTTTGTCTTGTTTTTATATTAAATGCTACATTCTGCCTGCTTTATTTTTTTTACTCTTTATCACTGTTCTGTACCTGCAAAAATTTGTTTCCATAATCAGAGATTTCCCAACATGGGATCAACAAACAGGTTCGGTGGGAAGGTAATGCGCTCTGTGAGCGTGAACCAGATAGCAGTTTTTCCAGTTATCCTTGAACTCCTGATCACTGCCTGCTGACTCCCACTGCAGCCCCACACACAGCGAGACACCTTCCCACGCAGATCCACCCACAGCTCTGTTATCTGCCTGCCACGACTCACATGTCGTCCCATCCATCGAACAAAAGACTCCAGCAGTCGGAGACGCTGACCCAAATATCACTGGACGGCTTTGTTTGGGAAATAACCTGTCATCTGAAACCACAAATCCATTTCAGTAAGCAAAGGCGACTGCTGGGATTTCAGATGACTGTAGATGCAAACTGTCACTTGGAGACAAAAAAAAAAGAAAACGTCTCTAATTTTATCTTTACTCAGGGAAGCCAAACGAGCAACACGTGTACACAGCTCACTGCAGCCTGCTTCCCTTCCTCCAGTCCTCATCACCCAGTGGCCAGTCAGGTTCTGGTGTAAGCTGGAAACAGGTTCACCAAACTGATAGCTGCTTCAGGAGGAAGTGGGATTCAGGTAGGGAGTGGTGAACTTATTTTACGTTCTTCTGTGCACGAGTTCCAGCATTTAACAGTGAAGCAGGTTGGACGTTTGGGGCAGATCAATTTCATTAAAGAGAGTTTTATTTTTAAAACATAAATAAACTACTACAATGTCGATTTAGTGCTCGTAACACGCTTTGATTTTCTCAGGTGCGTAAAAGTGTTGCCTAGAAATATCACTGCTGCCTCTCTCTGGACATTGTTACTAAGTGGCCTTTTAAAAATGACCCAAACCACAATTATGCTGTTTTTCCCATCGTTTGGAAAAAGTTCCACAATTCTACTTCCCCATTGAGGAAAAAGAGGAAAACCAATCCCTCATCATCATCATCATCATCATCATCATCATCACTTCTAGTCAGGTCATATGGAAGTTGACTAATAATTTCAATTTAAAAAAAAGAAAGCGTTAAAAGTCAGGTGGGTGAATAATTTAAATGTTTTCAGTGTGCTTTAGCATTTCAGTTGATGTTAAGTTTTACTGCATGCACCTTACTGAGGGTCATCGCAGGGTTTGAGCTCAACAGGGATCTGATGTTAGGAATCAGAGAAGTTACCTTTCAACGATCCTTTAGCTGAAAGCTGCAGCTGAAGAACCTCCTGACGCAGAGAGCCTAGTGGAGTTGGGCGACGCATGGGCAAAAGGACCAAAAGGATGTTTGACATACAACGTATGTAGATGGGTGGGGGGAAAATAGTGGATGAGACAATAAATCAGGGGAGAAAAGGGGGGAACGAGGGATGGGCGTGATGGAGAGAAAAACACCAGAAGTGAGCTTTATTTCCAAATCACATTACATATGAGCACAACTGCTCAAATGCTCCATGATCTCACTGCAGCGCCACATTTAATGACTCTGTAGATGTATTATTTTATTTCTTTATGACTTCCCTCCTTGTAATTTCCGTTGGTAATCAATGCAACAGAGTTTGTGTGGACAGATGCATGCTTTCCAAACAGGTTGGAACAGGAACACATGAGATTCACATCACTGTCATACAACATCAGGAACCTGTTAGTGTGGCTGCAGGGGAAAAAAAAAAAAAGACAGACATGCACGTGGCATGCAGCTTTTCCACTTTCAGCACTCTGAAACTTAACTGTACAACCAGCTGTGCACAATTTAAGTAGCATGATATCACTGCTGCTAAAAATAATATGCAGTTCACCGTAACCCTGCATGCAAGAGTACACTATGTTAGTACTGTAAATATCCGAGTAATCAGAAAGATGAACTTCGTACGGATAAGAGGTTCCATTGCTCCATTACTTTAGCTCGTAAAGGAGCTAAAGTACATTAGGAGTGTTAGTGTAGTAGCAAATTAAATTGATCGCAATTTTAAGATATTTGAAAGAAAAAAGGAGAAAAAAAAATACACTGCAATACATTATAGTTAAGATCAGGGTCAGCTCTGAGGAACAGAAATTACCTTGCTATTTATGCTGATCTCTCAATAAAAAATGTTGAAAGTAGTTTAAAATATCAACTCTGCCATCATGTTTTGAAATATTTGTGAAATCTGCAGAGTGTGACATTACGTCTGGTGCCAATATAAATACTAATCATTCATGACAAAAAGGTTTCTTAAGGCTCAACCATAGTTATGTATTTATAAAATAACTTGCAGGAAAAGGTAAAATAAATTATGACTACACTGTAATAGCCTCAGTTTTCTATTAAAATTGATATGTTGCAGTTAATGATGCACAATGATCTTTTCCCGAATTATAAATTCTTATTTTCTTTAAGGCTTGACTTGCTGATATCTATTTTAATCAGTTATTGTTTTTAGGACAAATAAAGTTGTATATACATTTGCTCTATTGATTCCCAATAAGCGTTCCTGATTGGTAAATTGGTCAATTAGATTGTCTCACTGATGTTTTTGTACATTTGTACTTAGTTGTAGGTGTGCAAACAGCTCTGTCCAACGTGGAGCGTTTAGCTTTTCTCTGCAATACAGCAACACAGCAATGCAAAGAGAAGGGTGTCAATTTTTGTTTTAAATAGGTAATTCTCCATTTGTCAAAACAAACATTTTGAATTTTGTGTTATAGAGTTCTGATTTGGCTGAAATCAGATTGAAAAGCTTTGCAAAATGGGCGATTAACCACAAAAGATCACAAATAGGTGCATCTCCAACACCTATTGTCAATCATGATAAAAAGCACATTGTAGTTACAAAACTGCACTCATTTGTAAATAAGCTAATGTTTAATCTAAAGCCGTCTGTTATCCTAAAAGGAGTAATGGGTGAAAAATCGCACTAAAACCTCAATTCTGCACATATTACAATAGCTTAAAAATGCAGAGGTTGCCAGATGCAACAATGACAGGTTTACACGCTGAAGTCAGAAGAGCAACAGGCTGCTGTCACCGCATGGACGTCATAAATGCTACTAACAGGTGAAAAGCCTGTTTTCAGATGACGCGTCCTGTTGTTTCCTTGTGTCTATAAAGGTGGACGGGGGAGGTTTCCATGCTGCTGTTACTCACCCGGCTTCCCGGAGCCACGTTTCCCTTTTTTACTCCGCGGCATGTCGCGCGGATCCTCCGGGTCACAACGAAGCTAGCTGAGGTAGCAGCGCCGGTTAGCCTCCTTCAAGTCCGCTCCGTCCTTATTTAACAGCTGGAGACAGAGAAAGACGCCTGTCTAAATCATCCCTGTTGTCCAAACCTCTGTTTATGAGTCAAAGACTATAAAACCCACAACTTCCCCCCCACCCCAAACTCTTCTGTTGACACTTCGCTTAGCGTCAGTGACGAGCAACACAAACCACGTTTCGCAACTCTGCCGTCTTCAATCCCGGAAAAAAAGCACTTGTCCAGAGCGGGATATGTCCCACTTTTCACCAGTTTTTCTGTGTATTATCTGTGATTGTCCCCGGGTAACCTATACCTAACGCCAGGCTGAGATGGTAAATATTTCTCGAAGTGTTTAGGACGGAGTTTGGAGCACGCTGCTGTCACCAGGTCCACCATCTTCCCCACAGTTACTACTGAACCCACCGGTAGCGCGGGTTGCCAGGTTGGTCAGTTCTGGTGATATCCCCCGTTTCCGGTTTTGGCAGGTCATGCAAACAAAACCATTATTTTTTAAATGCTCAGTAACAATATATATTATTGTCATATTATTTTAGCCGGACCCAGGCCTATATATTTGGCCTACACGTTATGTTTCTTTGTAACAGAGAAATTGTTGTCAAAACTAACACTAAACCCATCTGAACCTCCCATTTTGGGGGAGTTAGGATTAGCAGTATTCTCCTAAAATGTAGATTAATAAACCAGATATTTTTTTTTAATTTTTATTTTTTTATTTTATTAAATTCAGAAGTGTAAATGTTTGGCCCAATTACCTTGAAGCCTTTTGAAAAGAACAATGTAAAAATGTTGGTCTCTTGTCGAGGTTGAGAAAGTTTTGCTATTTATTTAAAAGTAAAATAACATAAATTTCTAGCATTGGTCTTCTAAACAATAAATGGGCTGCTTTGTGTTGGTCGATCACACAAGATCATGTTTGACTGAAATGTGACAAAACTTGAAACACTGGGTTTTGTGAGGCGCCATATATGACAAACACCTACGGCAAATTTTGCAAGTGGAAATAGTAACAGTGAGAGCTGTAAAACATTTTCTTAATGTCCTAAGTTTTCATTTCAGAAGCAAAATAAATAAACGATTAGAGGCAACTAGAAAAGCACATTTTATTTACTCAAAAGTAAGTCTCGCCTGAAAAATGCTTAAGAAGTTCACACAAACATTCAGTCATACATAAAAACTCAAGTTAATCACGTTGTTGCACAGTTTCAAGTTGGCAAATCAGTAGTACATTTCATCAAGTCACTAGAAACCTCGTGTGAAAACAGAAAGCTCTAATTAGATATTGAATACTTTTATTAGTAGTAAAGATTACATGTCAAACTAAGCAATCTTTATAAATTAGACCGTTATTTTTCCCATCTGGATTTATGAATTAATACTATCAAAACATACAAATAAACATCGTCATCATTATCATCAGACAATCAAAATCGCCAAAATCTGTCATATTTGTTCGTAGCTACTGTAAATGCAAATTATTTCTATGTACCTGTAGCATTAAGACACAGCAGGCACAGATGTGCTCCAGTCTAATTCACAAAATAGTAGTTTGTTAGTCACACAGTCTTTCATGTTGTGCCCTCATATTTCAACCAATGTGGAGCATTTTCTTTTCTTCATAGTTTATTTGATTATTGAGACTGATGGTCATAAAAATGCTAAAATCTCATACATATAACTAAAAATATTTGCTGAAAGCTTTGCAATAACTCTATAATGACTTGGAGTGACTTCCAGCTGGTTGATGTCATTTACTAGAGTCATGTAACCAAATCTTCTCCCACAACATGGGAATGTACTTAATTGTTGTCAAGCTGAGTGCAAATTTACCAATGGCCCTTATAGAGTGTACCATGGACAATGGCTCCATTTGGTACAAGAAAAGAAAAAGAAAATAAAGAGGTGAGGGACAAAAAGAGTTGGAGCTGAAAATTGTTGGTTTGATGATTTGTTTGTTTAGTTTGTATCATAATGACTTGACAAATAAAGGTGTATTGAGGTCCCATAACAGTGCTAACATTATCAGTGCTACCTGTACTCTCATGCCACCTGCTTTTCATTTCAAACAGATTAAACAATGTTATCAAACTATGGATTCAAGTCAGGATGCCAACTGTATGTTAATAAAACTCAGTCTTTTCTTTGCATCTTCCTATCGGCTTTCTGCATTGAATATGACTGTTCACAGCTGAACACCAACCACGTTCACAGCGCTGCCTTTTTATCCCCACACTTATTGGAAAGTATTTTCAAACCTAAATTGGCCTTGTGTTGCTGGAGTTAAACACCAGAGGGCGACAACAGTAAATGAGAGAGGCATTGGTAGAATGATCCAGTGTGTGGTTCTTATCCAGTGTAGTAGTTTGTGGGGACAAAGGGCATCTTGCTGACGATGGCTGGGACTGTTTTCTTTCTGATTTCAACCTGGACGGCTGCTCCGTTCTTGGCAAATGCTGCGTCCACGTAACCCATGGAGACGTTCTTTTTCAGACAGGGGGAGGGACAGCCGCTGGTCACTTCCCCTATATAGAAGGAGAAAGGTGTCGGTGAAAATCAATTAACTATGTGATGACACTAGTTCAATAAACCCTCCTGCAATAGACTCATGAAAAACAACATTCAGACATTGATTTGTATTCCAGATAATGGATTACTGCTCATTTATTTGCAATGTAGCAAGTGTTTGAATTCATCTATGGCTAATAAAGAGCCTTACAATTAAAAATGTGATGTAATGCATGAGATTTTAAATTAAATGGTACATTTTGTGAAGAGTTACGGTTTAGAAAAATGCAAGGGTTTTGCTGACCCTGAGTGGTCAAATTATTTAAGCCTGTTAGGACAACAAACAAAAAGGTTTGATTCAGATATTTTAATGCTTAATTTAACAAATACATAGTTCTATTTATCTAACGGGGACATGCTGTTGCATTACTTTCTTATACAATTCTCTCCACATGATTCTACTCTCAATTTCAAATTCAGATAAGGCCTTGGCTCCTTGTCACTCCCTCACCTATGACCTGTCCATCAGAGCTGAGGATGGGGGTGTGCTGTCTCACTGGGGGACCTGTGGACACCAGTCCAACTCTTTTCCTGGCTGTCTTGGCTTTGATTTGCGGCACAATAATGTCAGCGCCAGGGAAATCCTTCGTCTGACGCCTGCGTTTCCCTGCGAATGAGAAGGAAAACCAGCAGAGCCCTTTTAAAATGTTTAATTAAGCAGGTCTCTGTCACCTAAAATAAGATAGGCCTCATCAAATATTAAAAAATATCCAAAAGGATAGACAGGAGAGAGCATTACTTTGACCGACTTATACGAGTGTCGGTGCTCGACTATGCATGTATTCAATAGCTACATGTAGACTGTTACCAGAAATGAAAACCTAACCTATCGTCCAAACAAGACTGGCTTCCACAGGCGTGGTGGTCTCGTCTATGTCGATGCCGTAGAGACAAAGTCCCGCCTCCAGCCGAAGACTGTCTCTGGCTCCCAGACCGGCCAGCTTCACCTCATTGTTGCTAAGCAGCTTCTCTGCCAGCTCAACCACTCTGGAACGAGGAACAGAAATCTGGGAGGCACAGAAAGACAGACAGACAGAGTAACTTTAATGCCGGCGTTCTACATGTTAAGGTTCCTGTTGCAGGAATAAAATCCAAAAGACACCAACATCTACCAACCCTAAAGGAGCTATGGAGATCCACAGCTCGAGTGGGAGACTTACAGGATAACTGTGACTTGGTTATTCTGCAGATCTGATCTTTTTGGGAGAATGGGACAGAAAGTCATTGGGGAAAAAATCCTTTTTGAAGTTTGTCGCAAGTCACCCAAATGTGGAAGAAAGTGTTCTGGTCACAAAAGACCAGAACACTTTCTGAAATGTTTGGGTCTTCGTGGAAACCACATATAGGACTTCATTTTAAACAACTCCTCTCCATGTTGGTGTGGCATCATGCTGTGTCATGTATATATATACCGTTTCTTCAAAAACCTAAGACGCAGTCAGCCAAGTCGCTGGGCTGCTAGGTGTTGATGGTACTCACCATAAAGTCAAAGTGAAAACAGAAAGCTTGGTCAATTAAAGACAAATGTTTTCTGTTTACCCAACATTTTCCCTTTGAAGAAGTTTTTAAATCTCTCGAGTTGATAAGGAGAGATTTTATTTAGGTCAAAGTGTACTTCTGTACCAGAATGGTCCAAAGATTTATCACTATGGACCACAACCTTTGACACATTTTTTTAAACATTCAGTCAGAATAGTCTGGGGAAAGAAGTCCAAGAATGGACAGAAATGAACTACCAGAACGTGATCCAAAGTTTTAGCGTCGCCATGGACATGCTCACCTCCACCCCGTCCTCTCCGGTGTATCCGCAGCGGGTCACTCTGCAGTCAGGAATACCGAACACTGTGACCAGGGTGGAGGTCATGAAGGTCAGCTTCCTGAGGTCTCCTTTCAGTCCAGCCTGAAGTACCTGAGCCATGGTGGGACCTGATGACACAAAATGGAAATTTAAGCACAGAGCGAGCTTCAGCTTATCTTGGAACTAAAAGGAAAGCAATGTATATGAAACCTGTTGTATATGAAATAACAAAGGATACTTCAAGAAGGGAGAGCAAATGAAAGACCGAATGGTGTTTGACCTTGAAGTGCAATCAGGGCTTCGTCAATAAACTCCAGGTCCACATCAAACCCGGCAGCTTTGTACTCTGCCAGTCTGGCCTAAGAATAAAACACACACACACACATCAGTCATTTCCCAGACGATTCCAGCCCAGTCAGCCTCCACAGATTCCTTCACCTTCATATGAGCCGAGTCTTTGTCGGCGCAGCCGGCGTTGGAGACCACGTAGAGGTAACCGTGGTCGGTCTTTGTCACTATGAGGTCATCAATAATTCCTCCCTTCTCGTTGGTGAAGAGGGACAACGTACCCTGAGAGGTGAGAAGATACAGAAGTGGGAAGAGAGGGCAAAGAGTTAAAGACAAACTCAAGAATTTACAGTAAGGATATGAATAGATCTGCTTCTCTGATAAAACAATTATAAATTTAGAGCTTACAGATGTATCTCTTTATGCATTTAGGATTATTGAAGTCCCAATACAGAGAGATGAAAGCCAATCTGATTTCTACCGTATATGCAAGCCCGGCGGCACAATCAGCCATGCCTGCAGGGCGTGTTTGTTGTTTTTACTTTAAAGTGACCAACTCTCTGTTATTCCTATCTCAATTTGATACAGTAGGGGCTTCCACACTGTCACTTTTTTTCAGCTGTTTAATCCATAGTTAACACGTTGTAGCCTGCTTTTCCGAGCCGCCTTTAAACACAACATGATTGCTCCTGCTGGGCAGAGCTGCTCAGGTGTGAGAATCATGGCAGCAAACCAGCAAAATGCAAAGAAGTTTGCAGTTTTTTTCCCCAAACTAACAGAATGAGTTCAGTAATGCTGTTGGATGCAGGTAATGTTAACTAAAAGATGACTAGATAACACCAGTACAGCACCTTAACCTTGTTAACAAGTCGTCAAAAGGCTACTGATGTTTTTTATGTTCAAAAGTGGGTAGTACTTGTTAGATTCACTTGGGAAAAAGGCACTTATATGAGTAGTTTTACTGAACTGTACCTTTTTCATTTACTTTTTCATTTGCTATGCAGTAATGCTACAATACTGCGTAGCAATATTGTTATTGCTACGCAGATTCATTTTGCCCCCCAAAATAAGCCCCCTATTGAAATGGTCTGGAGCCCAGGCTGATTATTAGGAAACATAGATTAGCAAAGTTAAAGCTATCTTGTAGATTTAAAGGATTTACATCTCAAAACTTCTTTGAGATATATGAAAGGTCTATTTACTATTGTATAGCCAAAAAAAGAAGACAGACTACACTTTGAAAGTTTTTAGAACTAATTCCTGCATTGTTCTCATGTATTTGGAAGTAGAAATACATTTGGAAAGCAGTGGAAGCTCTGTTATGGTAGGTCAGCTACAGATCATCTCGTTGGAATCGCACACAGATCTACAAGGTGAGAAATGGTAACAGCTGATCCTTCTTCTACCTGGTTGTCCTTCAGCTCTGCAATATCTGCAACCACCAGAGTCTCCATGAACTTTATACGGTCTTTTCCGTGCACTTTGGTCTGACTCAAGAGACAAGAGGAAAATAGGAATACAGTGGTTAAATGCATGAAAAGAATTCAAAGGCTAATCTGGAGCGCTTCAGCTTTAGCGTGCCTCACCTGGAGCATGTGGCTGACATCAAAGATGGAGCAGTGCTCCCTGGTGTGCATGTGTGAGGCGATGTGACTGTCTTTGTACTGGACAGGCATACTCCAGCCTGCAAACTCCACCATCTTTCCACCGTTGTTCCTGTGGAAGTCAAAGAGGGGCGTTTTCTTCAGGGCAGCCTGGCGGGAAGAGGGGGGAAAACGACTGAGTCAGAGGAGTTAACAGAACCACATGTTTTTGTTTATTTTTTTAAATGCTTGACTTTTGAAAGCAACAGACTACTAATGAAAGAAATTGCAAGAAATGTATTTTTGTATTTTGCAACTGTAAACCATATCCAAATCTACATGGAGAATATTGTTTTGCAAGGAAGAAGGAACAGAACAAAAGGTAGAATTTGCCTGGTACACAAAAATACTGAGACAATGTGCAATCAAGCAAAATCCTGACACATCGACAACTCTACTGAAAGTCTGTCCTCTGTTAAAATCCCAACTTCAGCTTTTTTTTTGGACGACCTTTAAACTGGCTGGTGAAGGGAGCGGGGCCTTATCAGCCTGCTCTGATAATGGAGAAGCAGTCGCTCATGGTTCCAATAAAATCATTTTGTGCAGCTCGGCGAAGTGAAGCAGACAGAGCGTCTGCTGGGACTCATGCACATCATGTCTGCATGAGCAGGCTGCTGTTGTGGAGCACAATTCTGTTATTACTGAAACACGAAGCCACGCAGATACAGCCAGGTTTACACTGAGGGAATCCGAAATATGACTGAACTGAAAGGCAAACACACTCCACAGGCTCTGGCACCAGAAGGCATTTCTGATTTAATGAAATGTGATCAGATCTGGTCAGATTCTTTGTGTGGATCAGGACATTTAGGGCTGACTGTGGGTCGAAGGGTTCATGTGCATTTGAGCAGGATACAACCCTTGGTTCAAAGTGCTTGAACAAAGTACCAAACTGTCACTTCCCATTCATTAAGCACATGATGCACTTGAAATAGTGGGGACATTTCATTAAGGGCCCAAACAATTTTGACTTGCAGATTGAAAAAACTAAAAAAAAAAAAAAAAAACACACACACACACACAACAAAACATACATTTGAAACACTTTCACTAAACGGTTTCAAACACTGTAATGACAAATCAGGAAGCGTTAAAGATGTAATTTTCTGCATACTGAACCGCGATGTAATTAATCTGCTCAAAGCAGTCGAAATCCTCCAGAAAGGCAACTCAAAACAGAAATCAATCTGCAGCTTTCCCCATACCTCTGCACTGAAATCCCGTCTCTCCTGCGGCGTCTTCCCCGCACATCCAGCACCCGTGACCCGCAGCAAGCACTCCCTGGAAGCCCGCAGCCCGAGCCCCGAGCCCCCGGCCGCAACCCGAGCCCACATCCTGCAGCCTGATCCCCGCGCAAGAGTTTGGCTTGGATCCGCTCGGCGCTCCAGCCGCGTTAGCACTTCCGCTTTGCTTCCAGGCTCTTTTGAACTCAACAACGCGGGATCCTTGCACAGGGAGAAAATAAAAACACACACACACATGAAGCGTCGGTAAGGATGAAGGAAGGAGCAAAGACTTGTGGGAAACGAAGTTAATAAGTTGACTTTAGTTCACAGGAGATCAGCGTTTTTAAAGCGGGATCAGGATGTTTTGCCGCAGAGTGTGCAACAAATTATTACTCTGATCACTTCAGCGTGACAGATCACAGTACCATGGCAACAGGGAGAAACGGAAACTTTGTCACACTACAAGCACAATGATTTTAAGTGATGAGCAAATACTTAATTATAATTTTAAGGCTGAAGGAAAATGATGTTATTTTATTAACAAACAATAAATAAATAACAGAAGAAATGTTTTTTGTTTTGTAAACAGCTCCAGCTCTGGATTGCATGGAGATCACCAGTTTATCGCCACAAATTCTCAATTGTGAACTTTGACTAGGCCATCCGTGTGCTGATTCCATCCCACCCCTAGGTGGCCTTGCAGAAGAAAATTACCCCCCACTGCATGATGTTCCTGTCATCTTGGTGCATTTGGCCTCCTCTGTCTAACATGACCTTTTGGATATAGATCAAACAGTAAAATATTGGTTCCAAATAGCCCCTTTTTCACAAAGGTCTCACTTTTGGAGTGGACAACTAATAATGGTAATGTCCTCAGTGAACACAGAGTAGCGCTCTGTGTTCAGTGTTGGGTGGACTGACATGTCTTGGTAGGTTTTTTTGTTGTACCATAAGTTTTCCACATTCCCAGCAGATGATAGATAGTTTGAGCAATGCTCTTTGAGATGAAAAACCTGACCTTTCTCCACAGCTTTATCCGTGACGTTTTACTCAAATGTCTGATGAGTAGACTTTATGAGATGATGGAGCCAAGATATAAGCATTAAAGTCTTTATTCACAAAACAAAAGCTTTGTTAAAATTTGAACATTAAAATTTTTCAAGGGTTTCAAAAGCCCTAAAAAAAATAAAAAAGCTACAATTCATCAAAAATATTCCGTGCATTTTAACTGCAGCTATAACATTTATCTGTGACTTTGTCACCAGCTTCATAAATAGATGCAATTTTCTTCAGAGGAGCACACGCAGAAACAAAAGAAAAAGAACAATTTCACAGACTCTGTCTGCACCTATTTGTTTGTTAAAGTTTTCAATCTGCTTCCTTCAGCCAAAGTCTCTGATATTTTTCTGTGTCAGTGTTTGTGCGGGTTGATCCCATCATGCCTTTCACCCTGGTCACTGAGTCATCCTTTAGGCCAGAGGAACTAATAATAATCTCATGTCTCTGGTGCTATTTTGGACTGTGAAGGCCTGCAAAGCCAAGCATGTGCATGTTGGGAGGGGGCGCACTGAGGCAGAGGAAAAAACTTCCTCTGCTGCTCATACCGCTTTCCTTACGTCTCCTATAGTGCAGCTGTGGTGGGTTAAATCTGAAAATTCAGACTCAAACCCAGTTTGGCCTCTATTGGTTCTGAAGCGCCCTGCAACTTTGTTGAGACTTTGGGAAATTTGTACCTGGAACCAACAAGTTGATTTTATTTTTGCTTGTTTGTTTTTGTTTTCCTTTGTGAAGGAACAAAGTGGACCAAATGTAACTGGATTAACCTGCTCATGGAATGTGGATTTTCACTCAAAAATACATTTTGATGGTCCTCTTGTTGGCTCAGAAGCATGTTTTGGCAGTTTGCTGTCAGCATGTGAGAGGTGAACCAGAAGACTAGGACACCGTAATACGGCAAACAGGATTTTTTTTACTAGTGTCACAAGGTAAGGGGAATTGTCAGACAGGTGACCAACCACTGCATCAGACTAATTCACAGAGTAAGTGTGTACTGATTTATTACATCAGCACATTTTGTCCTTCAACCCTTGATTCAAATTCCAGCAGCATCATGTTTGATAAGCAGTCCTAATAATACGACTCATACCTTAGATATTCATGCATGTTTTGTTGTCAAATAGACCAAAATGATCTGTTCTTTTCTATGACATATGAATAGATTCTAACTGGCCTGGTTTTTCAATCTTAACAAGATCAGAATCTATTTCACATATTTCCACATTGCCAAGAAAAAAATGTGTTGTCTTTCTGTGATGTGATGTGTATAAACCAAAACGAAACAAGTTAATGCAACACCATGAAACAGAAGGAATAGAAATCCATTCACCAAATTAGTCCGTATGAATCAAGCTGTCCAAAACATTGATCTCCTTCATGAGATCAAACGGCCTCATGAAGGAGCACATCAGACAGACCAGGGAGAAACTTGTAGCGGAGAAGTTTAAATCAGGTGTAGAGATTAAAATGATATTCCAAACTTCTGTTCAATTCATAATATGCAAAATGGAAAAGATATGACACAACTGCAAACCCGCCAAAACACGGCTGTCCAACAAAACTAACAAGTTGGACACGAAAAGCATTAACAGACAAGAGGCCCATGGTCTTTCAGGAGGGAGAATCTGATGACGCCAGGCCTTTTACGGAAGACTGGCAATAATGGGGAATCCTAGAAACTGGAGATAGCGAGAGACTTGAGAAAGGGGATAAGTTTTCACCTTCCTGCAGAAAAACAACCCGTAACATGCAGCCAGAGCTGCAATTGGTCAGTTCTAATCAAGGTGTATTTATTTGTTAGTACAGCCCGGTGAAAGGCCTAATTTAAATCCAATTCATAATTTTCTATTTAGGAGCATTAGGGTGTATTGTGTGGGATATATAGAAAATCTCCTCAGTTTTATTTGCAAAAAGATGTCCTCCTACTTCTCCCTCGGTTCAAGGAGACATGTCGAGGCCTCCGTCGTCCCAGAATACCCCTCAGTTCTACAGGGTGAGCGAGAGAGACCTCACTGAGATCGAGCTGCATTCCGTCGACTCCATCAACGACCTCCACCGAACGCACCCCGAGCACAGCCACAAAGGTGCTCACAGTCTCTACACACACGCCCACATCCGGCCAATCGACTCACTTTTCAACCCTGTGCCCTTTTCAGGCTTGAGGCCTCCTCGCCCCGCGTACACACCGTCCCCAAACGGGAATCTGTACACACATGACGGGGCGACGGTCATTCAGAGAGGGCGTCCGCTGGGCAGCAAATGGCAGAGACGTCTTCAGGACATGTTGACGCCGAGTTCATCGAGGGCGTACGCCACGGGCTGCGCCATCGTCTCCCTGCTTCTGCTCACAGTGTTGCTCATCTTTGTTTTAGGTAATGCGTCTGTTTTTGTTTCAGTTTTGCAAAGATGCTGTCGTTCTTGACTCTTTAGCCGATAGATAATGTCTGCTTCAGTTTTTACAATTTTCTCAAATAAGTAAAAAAAAACTAAAATGTTTCTCAAAAATCTCCCTTTTTTGGGAATTTGGAAGATGGAAGAGCACAGTAATCCCAACGGGTTTTGAACAAGAAAAGTTTAGTCTGACTTGATGAAAATAAGATTTTGTGTATTTTTATACAGCGTATGTAAAAACGCTGTTTATCCCTAACCCTAACCCTAAATGGGCATCACCTTCATAAGCATATTATCAATCCTTCAAGTCATGAAATAATTTCATCCCATTTCTGTCCTGAGGGCCCCCCATATGAAAATTGAAGCCAATACCAAATAAAACGCAATGGCTTTTTTAAAAAAATAAATAAATAAACACAATATCTGCATTTCTGCCTCCTCCAGTCCAGCAGGGCGGCGCCATCAGGATGCTGACTGAGGCCGTGAGGGAAAAGGAGGCTGCAGCCAACAAGCTGGAGCTGCTGATGCAGGAGCTGCAGGAACTGAGGCGAAACATGACAGCCATGAGACGGGGGACATGAGGACGACATGCACAGACTCCTCAGCGCTGTGCTAGTGCACTCACACGAGCTTGATTCATAGATGATGTCAAATACTTTTACAATGTGAAGTATCAAACTTTGTTTCATGTTGGCTTTGGTCGTTTGTCTCCAAGCACTACCTGTGCTTTGAGTTGAAATGTAACAATGACATTACTTGTCTTTTTATGTATATTATGTATTGCTGAAATCAAGCAAAAATAAAATAAAACAAACAAACAAAAGCAATATTTAATAAATGTGGTCAATTACTGAAAAAAAAAAAGATTTGCTCAATTTGACAAAAAGTAGATAAAGAGAAAAACTGTTGTCTCTTTATTAGCCAAAATTTATGAAATTATATTTTGTCTTATTCAGTTTCCCCCAATAGAAATAAAAGTTGTGAGTAATCCCAATAGACGTTCAGGCTCAATCAAAAAGGGTCTAGCAGCAGCTGATGTAACTCTGCCAAAAACACGGAACTCATAACACTGACATCAGATCCTAAATTAGTGGACAATTTATTATTCATAATGCTTCTCAATTTCAACAGCTGACATGCTGTTTTTTTTTTTTTTTTTTTTTTACATAATATAATCATATTAGCCATAACTTCAGCTTTGGAGATTAAAGCCTTTGAGGATTCTCTAACAAAAATGCATTGACCTTCATTAAACAACAACAAAAACACAAAACAGGGCCTTTATTCTAAACATGCTCTCACCAGCAAAGCGAGTGTTTGCAGTGAGCTACTAGCAACGTTGTTATATACACATTATGTCACAATCTGGAATTATCTTAAAAACTAATAATATGTTAGCTGAGATATAGTTTGTTGTTATGGTAACAGTTTAGATAAATTGCAAAATGATCTAAAATACTAACAGCCAGGGGTTATTTTTGGACTTTAATTAAACAAGACAGTCACCATTTTCTACTAAGCTGAAGGAAAGTGGTATCCATCCATCCATCCATCCATCCATCCATCCATCCATCCATTTTCTTACACCCTTGTCCCCAGTGGGGGTGCTGGTGCCTATCTTCATTGGAGCACATGTTTATATGCTATTATATTGTTGGCTAACATCAATAAAAGCAGATGTTGAAAACAAGAAAAGGTGGCATTTTATAACTCCAGCAGTTTTTCAATATTGTAGCCACGCCAGCAGGGAGGCATTGTGGGTAGAATTCCTGTTCATTGTTAATCAATTAGGTCAGCTACTTAGCTTTTAGTAATTAGTCTGATCTTGTTCCTCTCGTTTGTGTGTTTATTATTTGTCAGAATCTGTTAGGATAAGTGAGGGAGGTAGTTGTCATGATGAGGTGCGAGTGGGTATCATGTAAAATATCCTCTGCTGCCTTGTTCTTGAGATATGACAACAATTGAACACGTCGAAATGGCTTTACAAATTGCAATGTTTAAAAAAAAAACTTAGTCAAGTTATTTATAGCTTTTATTATTATTATTATTCAAAACCCTGCTGTGCAGTTTCCTGGCTGAAGGACACTCATCAACTCTTGTCCTGCTCACTTCCATCCACCTGCCTGTGGCACCAGGTTCCAGTCCAGCCTGAGTAGCACCGACACCTGAAATGCCGCAGAAAGTATTTTCTGCTGGGAACGTCCGTGTCTCTGTGAGAGACAGAGACGGGCGCAGGTGATAGACTGCGCCCAGAGTCGGGGCGTCGCCTGGCGCAGCGGCCGCGGCCGCGGCAGAGCTGCAGGCTGCATCGCAACGCGTCGGCCCTCAGCGTCTGAATGAAGGGGCCCAGGACGGTGTGGACGTAGTCTCTGAGGAGGACGCACTGTTGCTGGTAGGCGGGAGAAGACAGCAGGGTTACACACACAGGCTCTGAAACGTACATGCGTCGAGATTTTGGTTCGTCGCCTACTTTTGACTTGGCGAACTTCATCTCTCCCCACAGCACGACTCCAGCTGCGCCGAGCGACGCGCTCTCTCCAAGTGTGTGCTCCAAATCCGTCTGCAAAGCCCAGACGTTCAGCTATACGATTACACGTTTCATTTCAACATTTGACATTGACGTGGACGAGTGGCTACCTCTTTGAGAAAGTCGAGTGTGTGCGTGAACGCCAGTCGAGCGTACGGAAGGACAGGTGTGGCCTGGTTATCACCGATGCCATGACGCCACAGAGACGCCACTCTCAAAGCCTCGAGCAGTCTGTGTCTGAGGGGGGGAAATGGATCAGTTTCTTTGGTTTCAAACCAAAGGTTGGGGTGAAACAGAACATAAATGTGTGTGTTTGTACCGGATCATCAGAGCAGCATCCGTGGACCCTGCCAGCCGCTGTGGCAGATAGATGCTGGGATAGAGAGCTGTGGACTGAGCCCACAGCCACGACAGCCGGTCGTTCTTCTGCTTAGTCCCCGCGTGGCAACGTCCTGTGTAGGTCTGATCTGATCTCACACATGAAGTCAAACACACTGATGTCAGCTTTTTTCTTTTTTTTTTTTATAATCGGTTATATCAGTTACATTTTAAAGTCAAAACTTAAATAGAAACTATCATATATTTTCACATTTTGTGCATCTTCATGGGATTTTATGCGACAGACTCTCACAAAGCAGCGGATAGCTGTGATGTGGGAGGAAGATAGTTGGCAGTTTTCTATATTTTCGACCAATTGAAGTCTGGAAAGTGTCATGCGTTTTTATTCCCTCCGCTCTTCATTCTGACACCTACCTGGCAACATACAACAGCTCAAATATGGAAAACTGACAAGAAGGCAACCATGAGCTCTGACTCCACAAATCTGGGCTTCATAGAGGAGTAGCGAGAAGAAAATCAATGTTGCAGAAAGATATAAGTGAGAAGTCCTGTGTGCAGATTCTTTTCTCAAATCCATGTCGCAAACACGTGGAAGAAAAATGCTCTGATAAAATAAATTAATTTAACCTTTCTCCTGTGTAACAGGAAAGAAGCTGCACATTACTCTGAACACACCATGCCTGCTGCATAGCAGCAGTATCTGAATCTCAATTAATATGAGTTATAATCACGTTAAATGTCCCTTTGGGCTCAATGAAGTATTCTTGAATTGAGTTTCATTCTGTGGGAATTCCACTAGGCAAAGCATTAGCCATTTTCCATCCAAGAAATGTAAAAATACAGTAGTGGTCGAGAAATGTCTGTGAAAAAGTTTATGGTCTATAAATATTTTTCAGCACTGCGCTGTATATCTGAATAAACATGTCTTTTTATTTCCCTTAAAACGATGCATTTTAAGCCATTCTTAAGCTTGTAGATGTACAACAATAAGTTTCTGTTTGCTTTACCTCTCTTTCTCTGGTGCTTATTAAAGCAGGAGGGGAAACCATAAAAGCCCCAGAATCCTCCGGGCCGGCGCCTGACCATCAGCCTCAGCGTCTCCTCCATGAACATCCGAGCGCTGTCCTCAAACGCCTGCTGAGCCAACAGCTTCACTTCCTTCTCGGACAAGTCCAGTCTCTTCTGTCTCACCAGCTGCTTGGACAACCTGCGGTACTGCATCTTGGACCCAAAGTTGTTCTCCCACAGCGGCAGCCACTCTTCCCAGTCGATGACTCCGACTCCGGAGAAGCTGGGGCGCAGCTGGACGTCCAGCTGCGCCTCTGCGAGGGAGAGGTGAGAGGCCAGGTCGCCAAGCTGCGGGATTCCTCCGTTCACCTCCCTGCCGTCGTGGGAGATGTAGGGGTAGTTCCCCAGGCGGTCCCGATAGAAGATGGTCACATTCTGGAAAAGTAAAAAAATCAATCAATCAATGAAAAGTCTGCAGATCTGAACTCTGTATGTTTGTATAGTTTTCCAATAGTAAAATTTCAGCACTTGTCAATCATTTCCAAGATAAGTTTTCTAACTTTTCCAGCACAACACCCTTGGAGTTAAAAACAACACAAATCAGCAAAAGGAGACAGTTTCAGTTCACTATTCTATTATATATATATATATATATATATATATATATATATATATATATATATATATATATATATATATATATATATATATATATATATATATATATATATATATATTATTTTATTTTTTTTTTTTTTTACTGCTATTAATAATATCTTGTGATAGGGTTCTACATAACAGGGAAAAGTAAACTAAAACTTGTATGTTTTGACTGTTTCTGTCACACACACCCTTTACCTGACTGGTCCTGGAACAAAGGACTAATTCAACGAAATATCAAAAAAAATTCTCTATATTTTCTGACTTTTCACAAATCAAAATAACTTTGGTAATTCGAACTTACTTAAAAGATGTGAAGTTTGGTCTGATCTAACTTCAGATGGTAATAAATAAATAAATAAATTGTCTCTTTCAAATGTAAATAAAGTTTTTCAAATTAGATCACACTTTATTGCAAAACTGTGCAGTTTGAATATGCAGCACTTTCAAGCACCTTGCATAGAAATGATGAGGTTTCCAAACACTGAAGATGCAAAATTGAAATTCAAGGATTTCAAGCTCCCATAAGTATCCTAAAGTTAACAGTCAGCTGTCCTTCTCTTTAGTTTTCGTCCAGTTGCCAAGGTTTCCAGTCCTGATCACTAAGTCTTCTTTTTTTCTGTCATTTTTAGAAAAACTGTTTCCGTAAATATCATGCAGAACTATTGACCAAAACCAAAAATCCCTGGCACTCTGAAGATAAGAGTATGCATCGTTATGGGTGGTTTAGAAGGTATTTATGTGAGAGTCTATTATCTCTCTGGTCTAGCTAAATCATTTCATCACCTGTCCCTGGAAATGCTGCTTTTGATTCTCCACGATCCCAAAGTCCTGCAGGTCCAGGTGGACGTTGTGGCGCTTTTGACAGTTAGCTGTGGGCATGTTCCACACAACGACGAAGGGCCGGTCCCGCAGGTCCGGACCCGCAGCCCCCGCATCAGGGTGGCTGAGGCTCTCCGACAGAGAGGCGCGGGGCAACAAAGCGATGAAGACGATGAGAAGACAAAGGTGAGACAGCACCATGGCTGCTCAGCAGTCAGTGTGTCCTTCCTGCTCAGAGACACAGAACAACCTGCATGATTTAAAATCCCTCCACAGAGACAGAATGTGTTGTTTTGAAATTCTTTGCCTGTTTTAAACTTTACTTTTATTCACCTGATTTTATGAATAATCTTTTTATTTACTCCTCTTGATTTAAATTTATGTAATTTTTACTTTTTACTAAAGATTTAATAGTGGCTTTGTGTATATATATATTTATTTTATTTTATTTTATTATTTTTATTTTTTTAAAGCATTCAAACCTTATTAAGTCACTGTTTTGATGAAAACATGCGCTGAAAGTTTAGTTCATTGGGTCGATTTTAGATGGAAAACACAAACTGAGATTCAAGACCAAAAACAAGACATGAAAATGACCAGAAATGACCCATATTTAGGTTTGAATGCACCTCTCAATACTTTGATACTTCCGCATTAAACCGTCCAATAACACATATGACCCTCTCAGAGAATGGCTGCATCTCAACGCAGCGCAAGTTGCGAGCTACAAAATATGGATAAAGGCAACGTTAGAAATGTGAGAAAAATTCAGCTTCGGACCTGAAATCATTTAATCGGAACCACAAACTTGAGAAGTAACTGGAGGAAGTCACAGTTGTTAGTACCCTATCGTTTACTTATTGAAGTGTTTTCAATTTGTAGTTTTTTTTTTCTAAAGGTAAAAGACAATTTGTCAAAGGAGTAATTTGTGATCTTTAATAGAAATATAGCAACACTGTAGATGTTTCTCTTAGACCCAAAGCCATTTTATCCACAACAAGTCAGATGAGCTGAAGGGACACGAGCATCAGAGAGAAGCTAAGGACAAAGTGACAAAGAATAGAGAAATATCTACATCTTCCAATGTTTGGATCTGTTTCCTTCACAAAAAGGACACTGCATTGGTATTATTAGAGATCACAGATTTATTTCTTTAAAAATGGTTTATTAAGTTTCCCAAAGGTTGGATTTTTTTTTGCACAAATCAGCTTGAATTCATGATATAATGACAAACAATTCAATTAAGTAAAAGGTCTTCAACATACTTCTGCCAGAAATCCTAATAGATGTGGAGAGCTTCGGTCCTACCCTCCTACAAGATCTTAACCTTATTTATTAAAAGTTATTGTTCTGTCCTATAACCATTTTTCAGTTTTCTCTCGTCTCTTTGTTGGTGTTTTGTCCGTCCGTCTCTGTGGTTCTTCTGCAAATGGTACTGGACCTTGAAGGTTAGCTTGTGCAAGAAGTGCATTGATGTTTGATTGTTTGGTTTCCTGATGTCGTCTCTGAGGTTTCAGGCAGTTTTCCCTGAGTGTGTCTCGGTGTGTCTTATTTCATTATAGTATGTATGGGAGTGTTTCCATGCACTCCCAAACAAGTCCGACTCTTCATCAAATGTCCTTGTGCATCCAAAAGATGGGAACTCCTCTGGCGTCTCTGTAGGGAGTTTCCGTCAAAGTCTGAACTACAGGCTGTCCTGAAAAGTGTGGCGGTGGAGGAGGCTCTGAGGAGGAAAGACAAGGAGGAGGAGGTAGAGGAGGTAAAGAGGGAAGAGGAGGTGGTGGTGGAGGTAAGGAGGGAAGAGGAGGAGGAGGCGGAGGTAAGGAGGGAAGAGGAGGTGGTGGAGGAGGAGGAGGGCTAAGAGGATTTTTTAAACTAGAAGGTGAAGGTGATCCATCAACGCAACTACGTTCCAAGTCTTCCATTCTTGTTGGAGTTTGTTTCGTTGGGTTTGCTTCCGTGTTTGGAGCTCTGGAAAGTCTCAGGAGCATCCCCAGAGGGAGGAGCGCCATCACAGAACCCGTGCTCTGCACCGGCGTGGACAGGACGTAGCCGAGATGGGCGTAGAAGTGCTGCTTGTCATGGGTGGTCAGGCACAGACGCCTGAAGCCTCTGCGTTTAGCATAGAGCTCCGTCTCCTCCATCAGAACCCGTCCGTAGCCCTTCCCCCGCTCCTGTTTGGACACAACTACCGACTCTACAAACAGGCTGCTGCCATGACCCACGACCCGGGTGAGCCGGGCGTGGCCGAGGAGCCTCTCCTCTGTCCCTCTGGGGCCCTGCAGGAGAACCAGGCAGACGGGGAACTCCGAGCAGGACTTCTGGAGGGAGTGGACCCGGGCTGCCTGGCTCCTCCGCCACTCGGAGTTGACCAGATCCGCGCAGGGTACCAGCAGGTCCGGACGCCGGTGGATCGGAACCGCACTGATCTTCCGTGCTTCCTCAGCGTCGTGGTGTTTGCTGTCCTGATCGTCTCCATCCAGCAACGGGACTTTTACAGCGTAATGTAAGTTTGGGAGGTTCTGCGGCTCGACATCCCGCTGGTTTCCGCTGCCTGGTTTGGAACTTGAGGACGTTAGCGCTTCAGACCTGTGATGATCAGGGTTCAAGTCATTCTGAGCTCTGGAACTGATTGCTAAAATCTTACACAAGGCTTGGATGTACAGTTTCTCAATTTTCCAGTGAAGCAAATAACACAAGTCTGGCTTGTGAAACAGGTAGTTAGAACCAAGAAGTCTCACTGAAAAAGGGACATTGAATACCAATCAGTTTTCTATTCTTTGGACAGCAATGTTAGAAATGTAATCATTTAATCAGCTGGCAGCTTTTAAGACCGTTATCTGTTGGAGACAGGAGAAGAAAACTAACTTTTTAAAAATCTTTTTAATGTCTATACTTCTTATTTTAACCTTCAGCTGAGCTCATTGAAAGGATTCCATAGAGAACTGCGCATCAATGTAAACTTTGTAAATTGTATGAAGGTCATTACCTTCCAAATTCACCAATCACCATATGTAATAAATATTCATGAATTTTTCTTTTTCTTTTTAAGGTTTATCCCATTAAGCCCCAATATTAACACATATTGAAAAGGAAAAGAAAAAGTTCCTTGAAACATAAGCAAATTTGTAAATCCACATTTAGTCGCAAATCCGGGATAACACGACATCAAGCAATAACAGCGTTTAGAAATCAATGACAATAACATTTGAATAGAGATTAGATAAAGTGACACGAGCCCCAAATAATTCACGCCAGCTTCGCTCAGCTGGAGATCGAGCGACACAAGCTGATGTGTAACATGCATAGAAAGTCAACGCTGATAGTCACTAACTCAGCCTGGGCGCACAGGATGTCTGTTAGGGGACGTATATATCAAAATGTGTCTTTCAGTTGTCTGAGATTGCTTTTTGAGGAATAACAACATAAAAATTTCAACATGTTCTAGATTTACGCATGCTAAAAGAATCATCATATTCACCTAATGTTTTGTTCTTATCCGTGGAATTTGATCAGCTTTATAAAAACGTACAAAAAACAAAAAAAGCACATCTTCACCAGGTATTAGAGAAAAATGGAAAGTTTTAAAACAGCCGACAAGTAAGGAAATGTACACCTATTTTTATCTTGCCTCCATTTGTAAGATAATGCTTCTATATCTTGCAAACTGATATTGCAAAATATATCTGATAATATCAATTGCCAAGATTACATAATGGTATATGTAATGCCATTTATTTTCGCCTTATCTTAACCTTTTTCACGACTTCTTGTTGCTCTACGTGGAACTTGAAGAGAACATGGAAGTCCACTCACGGCAAAAACAGCCCTTTTTCTGCATTTATTCCTGAACATAGCCGAGGTGTATGTACAGAACTGCATACGGAGAGGTTTTTTGTGTGGCTAAACATGTTTAATGCCATAAATATAACACACAGCTCAGCACAGTGTAATTACAGCAGGACCCTAAAGACAGAGAATGGCTGATTTGGCATAAAAACCATAATTGTCTTCATATAATTTCAATTTGGTTTCATCTTTGGCTGAAACCAAATGGACATGGTGTAACAAAAAAAGGAAAATGGTTTCATGACCTATTTGATGGGTGGATTGACCTGCACGACCCTGGAAAAGGTGCTTTTACACCCAAGTAAAAGAAGCAAAAGAAGAAATGGAAAAGCCGTCCGATTTCAAGTCACGTCGCATCTACGGGCATGATCATCTCTGTACAAAAGACATGCATGCAATCGCTTTTATTGAGCATAATTCATGAGAATGTATTCCAGTTTGTTAAAATGTTTACCCACTGCAGCTAATAGAGAAGCTGTAGCTTTCTGACACGTCTCCGCCAACAAGCATAAGAAGAACACTCACAGCAGCTCAGTGAACTGAATTCTTCCTTTTTCTTTCCACAGAAACACGATTCAATTTGGCCAAAATTACACATTAGTATCGCCAATATATGAAAAAGTCACACACAGAGAGAGAGAGATCTTTTCCAACGATGGTCTGCTTTTATTAAATTTAGATTGGTTACGGATCCAATCATTTAGCTGCAAACAACGACCAGCGAGTCTCTATGAAGGAGAGCTAATTTTAAGGATTAAAAGGGTGCATCACTTCCACGCAGTTTGAATGTAACATTATTTAAAGGAAAAACTAGAATAAAAGACCTGAGTAATATTGACTCACCCTGAGGGAGCAGCTGAGGATCAATTCCTGACTCTTCTACAAGTATTTAACCCGTCTCTGACCACACCAGACTACCTCACTTTATGCTTGTAAGAGGAAACTGGTTGTTGGCTAATTACCATGTTGCAGAATAAAGAAGAAAAAGAAGAAGCAGCAGTAGATCTTTACTCAAGATAAGTGCCGATGTCCTTTCTTAGACCAGAGAGAGAGAAAACTTTTAAGATTTGTGCAAAACTTTCGGTCTTCCTTTCTTTCTTCTTGATGATTTCATTGTTTTTCTCGACTCAATGCACAATATAAGCTGCAATTATTTGCAATTAAAAATTAATTAAAACTTAGACAAGATGACTTAAGTCCACCTTTAGGAGTCTGAATTGCTGACATTTCTTTGTCGCAAAAGAGTTATGCCTAAAAAAATAACGTGTAGCCGAAGATTCCTGGTTGTTTGTCTCAGAGTTGTACGGTGAAATTTTAGTGTACAATAAAATAAGCACATATTTACAATAAAATTAAAGTAATGTGATGTGCCTTTTCTTTCTTTTTTTTTTTTTTTGGCATAAAGGTGGTTCTTTTAGTGGCAGCTTTTGCAGGATGGTTTCCTTCTTCAGAATCCCAAGATGCCGGGTCTTTGACAACCTCATTGTCACAAGCAAGCTGATGGACGGACAGTTTTTTTTTTTACAGTGGCCACTGAATCATAACCGCACCAATCTACTTTGGTCATGTTTTTAGACAGCGAGAAAAATCTGGACTACCCAGAGAAAATGCACAGGGAGGACGTGTAAGCTCTATGCAGAAAGGCCGGACTATTTCTGCAGAGCTCCGTGTTGTCTGATTGGCTAGGAGTTTGTTGCAGCGCTTTAGGTAAACTTGATGCTCCTTCCACGCATTTGTTATAATTCATATTGAACAGTGAAAGTACACCCCCCCCCCCCAAGAAAGGAGGGTATCAAAAAATTGGGATAAACTCTTGTTGTTCCTCTCCACGGAAATCTTTAGTAAAAGGCGAAAGATTTATACGATCTGAAGAGAAACAAAGAGCGCATGCTCTACGAATGCTGAAAGTGCCCCATTTGTTTCGTCATCATTTCCACTTCGATGACGGTGCTACTTGACTGCACAATATAAGAGCTCAATTAAAGCTGCAGTGTGCCACTTGTACAATCCCTCCCACCCTCTTTTCTACAGAGTAGTTGAAAGTGTCATAATGTGGTGACAGTATGAGACAGAAAATATCAATCTCCTCAGCTTTCTCCTGTGTTAACTAGAAGCAACCAATCAGAGGCAAGAGGAGGGTCTTAGCGCTGTCAATCACTTGTTACATGTTCCTTTTATGTTGCTTCAAAATTACAAATAACATTAAAATGTTTCTTGAAAGAACATACTGCAGTTATGTACTTAATAGAAACCACTGATGTTTATTAAGTTGAACTAAATATTTTAATGCTGGACAGAGAAAGAACACACCAAATTGAAGAGTGTCAAAAAATCATACAAGCTCCCTGCATCTTAGCTCTGTGGAGTGTCTGCTTAGGAAGAGCATTCCAAACCTTTGGTAAGAAATGGTGTGTTTAATTTCAGTGTCCATTGCGGACCAGAGAAAACTAAAGACAATGCAATGTTGTGTTAATCCATTTATAGTCTAAACTAGTCGGCAGTTTATCTTGAGGAAATAAATAAAGGCGCAGAAGTTAACATGCGCAGTGCACTGCACAACCAATGTGCTTCACTTCAGAGCATTTGACTGGGAAACTGCATATATTTAGCAATTTTGAAGAAAAAAAAAAACATTAAAAATTGGTAAAACTAAATGAAAAATAAATACTTCATAGTAAAAAAATCACAAAGAGAAATTATCAATTATCTTATCACTGAGACATACATTATATTCACTTAACACAGATGATACAGAAATTAAACCTATTGGGGAAAAAAAATTCTTTAGAAAACTTACATATTCAATTGAAAAAGTTATTATGAAAGCACTCAGTTTGTTAAACTCACATCAATGTGTCTCAAACACCATTGACAAAAAGTTAATCGCTCATTAATATTTCACAGAGAAAGGTAACCCCACCAATAGGCAGGGTATCAAAAAATTGAGATAAACTCTTGTTGTTCCTCTCCACGGAAATCTTTAGTAAAAGGCGAAAGATTTATACGATCTGAAGAGAAACAAGAGTGCATAACCTGGAGAAGATGTAGGCGCTCTATTTGTTTCGACGTCACACCCACTTCACTGACGGTACTGTTCGACTAGCAAACATTATAAATCATTTAGGCCTCAACAATTCAAACACTTACTGTCGGTCAATAAGTGTACAGAAAACAGGTTACATAGAAAACGCAATTAACACCACAGAACGGGTTAAAAGTAAATTCATTTGGACGCAATGCATTGTGGGAACAACACGGAAATCACCACGCAAACCCCGTGTGCTGTAACAATTAAAACGGTGTAGGCTTTTATACAATGTAGCAAAAACGATTAAGTTTTTATTTGCTTTTTTTTAAACGCTCCCTTTAAGATGTTCGCACCTGCGCACTGAGCGCTTTTAACCGATCAAGCGACCAAGAGATTTTGAACAGCTCTCAATATATTTGTATTAAATATTGGAAAGGCTGGGCAAGTTAAAAAAAAATACCAGAACTGAATGGAAATGTTTTACATCAATTTTATAGCACCAAACACATCAGACTGTTCAGTACTAAACATGAGTCTCACGTTCCTGTATAAGGGAGACGTATTCGTGCTGAATACTCCCAGTTAATATTTCATCTCCTGTCTCCTCAGCTGCCACTTCCATGTAAGGTCAGAGCAGAAATAGCCTGATCGTTGTTCATGTAGAGTTTTAAAAACTGCCTTAATTCACAGTGTTCATGCTAAACACCAAGAGGAACCGCGTGTTTACCTTCTAATTCACCTCAATTAGAAACTTAGTGATATTTAAGCGCTACCTACATTTTCAGTCTGGCGGTCAGACGCTGGTCCCGTCAAAGCGCTCTGATTGGACAGACCGCTAATCTCCAGTCAGCGTCGGGAACGGCGGCAGCCAATAGCAGGACAAGGAGCAGGAGAACAGTCAGCTGCAACTGGTCCAGATTGAGGGCTAAATATTGTAAACACCATCGATGTCGATGGTTTCTCTTGGGCAGGATGTAGAACTCATCACTGACACTCTACGGATTGGAGTGGTATTACAAAATTTTTTATTATTTCACAGAGGAAGGTAACCCCACCAATAGGCAGGGTATCCAAAAATTGGGATAAACTCTTGTTGTTCCTCTCCACGGAAATCTTTAGTAAAAGGCGAAAGATT